GTAGTGGTTGCCATGTAAAATTGTTTTTAAAAATTATCAATGTCTTTATACAATGGGAGAATGTATGGCATTCTCAAATATTTTATATCTTCCTTGGCTTCATCATTAACGGTTTCCTATTTTAGAATATTCTTATCAATTCTAAACTTGAAATTCATCACTGTGCTAGTCTGTGTCTCAGAAGGGAGGAAAGTGAAGGGCACAGAGAAAATTAATTTCGTGTGAGTTTTCTGTCTTATGCTCAGCCATGCTCCCTGCCATTATCAGGATAGATAATAGGTATGTAGATAGAGTGGCAAAGACTTCAGAAAGCCTTCGCTAGATGAAAGCTAGGCTCACTGAATGGATTCAAAGGCATCCATAGCAAATGTCCTACCTGAAGGCTCAGCCTCAACGATGTTATCACCACAGTACTGACTCATCGCCCAATCCAAGCAGATGGATAGCTCAGTTGCAGCCCTGTCTTGAGGCAAAGGCATGAAGCAGATGATCTTACCTCCCCATCATTCCAAGATCAGGAGCTGGACTTCTTTGTCAGCCAAGGCAAGGACATCCTGACCATTTCCTTGGAACTAAGTCCGCTGAAAACCTGAACAAATGGCATACCCGGTGAGATGGTGGCAGATCTCTGCAAGGTGATGAGGTCAAATCACACCACTGTGCCTGTACAGAGCGCAGTGTCCTCTGAGGACAACCTAAATCATATGGAATGACTATTTGTAAACTGAAGTTATACTAATGCTAAACACAGAATATTTAAACATTTACCGCTCATGTATACATATCACTCACTGTATATTAGTGGGGAGTAGGAATTAAGGCTCAAGTTGTGGTGTCAAAGGGTTTATTAAAATCTCATTTGTAGGTTTTGTCACCTGAAGGGTAACAGACCAAGTAAGTTTTGCGAAGGAAAAAATGAAGGAACAAAACATGGGAGAGAGGAGGGAGGACCACTGTCTTAGTTACTTTTCTGTCATTGCTGAGACAAAGTTCCCACACCTAAAGTTAAAGGGGGAAAGCTTCATTTATCTCACAGTTTGTAAAGGTTTCAGTCCATAATTGGCTGACTCCAAGGCAGGGCGCATGGCCGACAGGTATCACAGAGGAGAAAGAGTTTATGGCAGGTAGAAGGTAAGAAGGCAAGAAAAGGATGACCACAGCTCTTTCTGTCCTTTATATTTATCCAGGCTACTTAGAGCAGGTAGCACTCTTAATCTACTTATAAGTATTTTAAACTGAATAGTTGTTTTTTCTTTGTGATTCAGAGACAACAGCAAATAAACCCATGATCTTTGGATTTTTTTCCTGATCTCATCAGAACCTTTTAATGATTATAAAGAAAGGCTGTGAAGCCCTGTGAAAATCACCAGTATTTCATAGTTCTTAGTATCATGAATGTTACAATAAAGATGAAGCTTAGTCTGGCCTTTGCTCTGCCATGAAATACAGCTCAATTCTACTTGTGTTCTACACTCCGTGTGATGTATTATTCAAACGAGATTACAATGCATTTTGTCTCTGCCTGGTTTGGGTTTTATATTTCCTTACCACCACTAATTCAACACTGGATATTTTGACTTCTAAAGCCTCTTATTAACAGTACTAGACTTTATAATTTATAAATGGCTAGTCCTATGACATTAGTCTCCCTCATAGAAAACTACCCTCTGAAACAGGCGTGAGGGGTGTGTGGCCACATCACCCTGGAACATTTACTGCTGTCTCACTGGGTATGCTATTTGTTCTGCTGATCTCATTATTTCAAGAGGTTAGCAAAGGGCGAGTTGTCGGGATATGACAGTGGTTCCTTGGTTTTCCCAATAGGAGGGCTATTCAGAAGGTCAGCTCTGGATTTCTAGAATGGTAGGACTGAGATGCCGCTTTGCCCATGCCTCTGCCTCTAAGCAGGCAATGCCCAAGTCCTCACTGACCGAACTTGTCTGTCAGTGGTGAGTCAGCAGTGAAGAAGACAGGCATCGAATATGTGGCTGTGAGATACGATGGGACAGATATCAGGTCAACCTGAACAACCTTAAGAGCAAATCAGTGACTTTCTGAAGGTTTTCATTTGTGAAAGGTGACTGTTTCATGTAGCTAAATTTCCTTTTTCTTTCTTTCTTTTTGTTTTCTTCTTTGGTAATGGGAATAGAACTCAGGACCTTGCGCTTTCCAGGCGGGTGCTTATGCCACTGAGCTATATCCCCAGCCCCATATAAATTTTCACCATCTCACAGGATATAAGAAAGTACTGCTGAAATCTACTCACAAGTAATTCAAGCTGAATAGTTGTTTTTTCTTTGTGATTCAGAGACAACAGCAAATAAACCCATGATCTTTCGATTTTTTTCCTTATCTCATCAGAATCTTTTAATGATTATAAAGAAAGAACTCATGTAACTTGAAGACACTATTTAAAGAACTCAGTTTAAAACTGGACTAAGGACCCAAATAGATATTTCTCAAAAGACATACAAATGTTCAACAGGTATATGAAAATGTGCTCAGTCTCACTAACCATCTAGAATGCAAATCAAAGTTCAATGAGATAACACCTTGCATTGCTCTCAATGTCTAATATACGAAAGGTAAACGAGAACAAGTGGTGGCAAGGACTTGCCAAAGGGAATCCTTGCATACCGTTGGTAGGAACATCAACTGGTAAAATCATAGAAAACCATAGGGAAGTTCCTCAAAAATTAAGAATAAAACTACATCATAGTCCAGCAGTTCTCCATCTGGAAATACTTTGTAAAACCAAAGAAGGTAAAATTAGTGTCTTACACTTCCATATCAGCTCAGCACTGCTGACACTGGCCAATATATAGAAACAATTTAAATGTCTGTCAATGGATGAACTGATAAAAATGTTATGTATATGTGAGGTGTATATTGGCCTTAAAATGGAAGGACACATGGCCACTTGTGATGTAAACTTAAAGTATATTTTGCTACATGAAATGTGCCGTGCACAGAAAGATAAATATTGCATGATGCCAATTATATGTGGAATCCAAAAAGGTCAAACTCACAGAAACAGAGAGTATAGTGCTTTCCAGGGGTGGGGGGAAAGAGAGGTATGGTGGCATAGTGGTAATTTTAGTTGCACAAGATAAGTGAACTCCAGAGAACTAAAGCACAGCAATGTGACTGTAGCTTAAAATATTTTATTGTATACTTGAAAGTCTCTAGGAAAGGAATGCTTAAGTGCTCTCATTACACAGACAGACAGACAGACACACACACACACACACACACACATACTACCTAATGTGATACATATATTCATTAGCTTGGATCTGGTAAATATTCCACAACAGATATGTATATCAAATCATCAAGTTGTATATTTAAATATATATAGTACCTGTCAGCTGTGCTCTAGTTTAGTTGGAAAATTAAAATAAATTTTGGAGAAAATGTGTTTGATATCACATGTAGAAGAGAATGCAGTTACTATTTTAAATGGCTTCTTTTAAAATTCAAAGTTTTCAGTGTTGCTAGTGTTGTGATTTTTAATCTCATATTCTGCAACGGGGTTGAATGCTCTTATTATGTTCCATCATTATAGCAAGCATTCTTATGCATTTATTCTTTATTCATTATTGTTTATATCATTGGAGAAATCCAATAACAACTTTTGTGTGATGGGATATATGCAAGTAATTAATTTCTTCTAACAAATTTTTCTCAAATGAATGAAAGATCATTCATTCCCAAACACAGAATAAGGGACTATTTGGACACAATCGCAGAAACAGTGAGTTTCATAAGGCTTTTAAATGTTACTAGTCTTGTAAATGGAATAGCTCCCTTTGAAAGAAATTGTTATGTTTCTTCTTTATAAGTGAGTTGGATAGCTTCTACAATATAATTTCAGTGGTTATTGCTATTTATTGTTTTATTCTTTTAAAACAATCAATCACTCATGACCTACCAAATTATTTAGAGGAATATTTACTTTTAAATCTTAATTTATAGGTATGTTATATTAGTAAGGGATATGTGTTGGTTAGCTTTACATTACTGTAACAAAATACCTAAGATACACATCTTATAAAGAGAAAAGATTTATTTTGTCTCACATCTTTGGAGTTTGTACTTCATGACTGATTAGTCCTATTGTTTCATACCCTGGCAAGCCAGCATATCATGGCACGAAGGCACCAACAGAACAAAAGCTTTTCATAATTGCCAGGAAGATAAAGAAAGAGGAAGGAGTGAAGCTCCATGATTTCCTCAAGGAAATGTTCCTAATGACCTAAGGATCCCCCATTTGGCCTCGGCTTCTTAACAGTTCCACCAGTTCCCATTAGTGCTACCCTGAAGATTAAGTGTGTAACAAACACATGGGCTATTAGGGGACACTCGCATCCAGTCCACAACAGGAAGTTGGTCTTATCCCTATCGTGTGTTATATTTTCTTATGTTCAGTCTTATCCTTCTACCTTTTAAAATAGTGTCTTCTTCCACTTGCAGTTTCATAATAATGTGGCTAAATGTGTCAAAACTTTCTTTAATATATTATGAAGTTTTTACTATTTTTAAAACTTTCTCCAAATACTGAGTAAAAAGCAATCAACTACATTTTTGTAGTGTTGCTTGCAATTGTGATTACATGACTGCAATATTTGCTAAAAGTCATTGTGCTATATGTGGAAAGTAAGTGGATTTTAATGTGTGATATTATTATAATATGATACAGAAGTCAAGGAAGAATTTTAGTAGTAAATGTGGGGAGGGGGGCGCACAAATCAAGAAATGATGGTCTCCTGCCATATCTAGAAACGAGGTTAGACATCTGAAGGGTACAAGTTTCTGAAATACCAATGTTCATAACTATTATTGCTTCTGGGTCTTGGTTAAAGGGAAAACAGAATTAGAGAAAAAAGTAAGTATACATAGAAACAAACTTTTGCTGGTTGACACCAAAATCCATTATCTGTCTACGGAAGAGAGGGGAATGATAACGCAAGCAGGAGATGAATGGGTCTCAGAGCCAGTTGGGGAAGAGTTCCAGATTTTAATCATTCCAGTTCAGGCCACAGAATACATTGCCATAGGAGAGGGTAAGGAAGCTTCCAATATTTTTAGGAGAACAGTCTAGACTTCTGGATACAAGGCCAGGGTGATGCCCCAGGCCAGAGCTCAACTTTTGCTTGGACCTCTCAGCCATTCATGCAGCCTCAGACAGAGGAGGAAGTGAAGTCCACTTCAGCAGCAGCCTCCAGAGTGCTGGCTGCTGCCCCCGCCACAGCAGCTGGAGCCCCCGGAGGGCTGGCTGCAGCAGCCAGAGCTCTGGTGTCTGTGGCGGTGGGACCTGCGGGGCCTGTGGTGACTCAGGCAGCAGCCACCACCCCCGGAGCTGCGGCAGCCCCCAGAGCTGGAGCCACAGCAGCCCCCAGAGCTGGAGCCACAGCACCCACCAGAGCTGACACTGCAGCAGGAAGAGACTGGGGGGCATTTAGGGGGACACTTTGGGGGGCATTTTGGTGTAGGACACTTGGGAGGGCACTTGGGGGTGCACTTGGGAGGCGGCTGGCACTGCTGCTGGTTCTGCTGGCATGACATCTTGGTAGGTGAGCAGGAGTTCACGAGCTGAGAGAAAATCAAGTACAAATTAGACCCGGGCCACAGGCCACACTTGGACATTCTACCTCTCTCAATATCACCTGAGCCGTAGAAACATCATCTGTTGTGGTTTTATTTCTGAAGCAGTCTCTATATTCTTACCTTGTCACATTTATCCCTCTGAGTTCAGAATACATGTGTAAGTCACAGAAGAATTGCTGTTGTTATACAACTGCAGCAAACTGAGACCAAACAATATTATAGAACATATTCGAGTCCAAGATTTGTTGGGGGAAATTGAAAGAGGAACAGTATTGCAAATCTCTTTAGACGTTAAAATCGCCCAGTTGAATGGGAATTCCAGGGAAAATATTCTTTAAAAGAAAAGGCAAACATCTCCTCTTGTCATAGCTTATAAGATGATTTTACCATGCAGGTCAGTGTTGCTAAGGATCTAGAGATCGCCAGGTCAGTAAACTCAATCCATAAGAGAAGAGACTAAAAACTCATCAAAACCTGCAGCCCTGGGGCTTGGATCTCAGGCACTTGATGTCATCCCAGAACTCAGATATCCTCAGCTCACAGCCAACTGAGGCTTATGGACTGACATGACAGGCGTAAAGCATGTGATATCCCAATCAGCTCGGGAAATATCAACAAACCCCTCACCTATGGCTCTGTGGGTTTCCTAAGCCCAGAGCAGCACCTGGTGTGCTGCTTTGGCTCCAGTTTTTCATTTGCTGCCAAGGACAGGGCTGTTTCTCAGAGGCTGGATCCCTTCTGTCCAAGTGGAGGAAGTCTCTGTGTTTCAGTGTCTCCTATCCTGATGAGCCTACCCCGATACAGAGCAGTTTGTTCTCTCCAGACCCCAAATGCACATACGTCCATTTTCCCCTCATTCCCCCATTGGTGCCAGAGTCTTCTTTTGCTCCCACCTTTCAGTCTTCCCTAAACTCTCCTCCTCTGAAACGTGACCTCTCTCCCTGAGGGCCCTGCCCAGCCTCCCCTTCTGCTGTTATTCCCAGTGGACACTTACCGGAGTCACAGGAACACAGAAGCTCTGTACACCACAGGAGGTGAGTGGATGGAGGTGCTCTGTCCCTGTGCCCTTTTATTCTGGCCTTGAGCTCTGCCCTAGCATGTGAGACAGGACCACGGCATGAGAGGTCCCGCCTCCTGCCACCCACATGATATTGTGTCAAGTGATGACTGCATGCTGCTCACCCACTTCCCTTCATCAGGTTTAGAGATGCTACTTCTTGGTAGGAATAGAGTTTTTTTTTTTTTAAAAGAGGGGCAGGTGTAGGGGCACTTTTTATATGACCTGCTATTTTATTCCCTACGGTAATGCAAGCCTGGAAGAATTCTTAGTTCTTATTTTTGGAACTAGAGTCCCCAGTTCTGTTGTTTTCTTCTTCATGCTGATAAAACCTCATTTGATCTTTATATCTTGGTTTGAACAATAATTTAGAGATGACTTCATAGGCCCTCTGCTTCTGTCCATGTCAGTCACCCAGTTTGTCAGCCGATTTCTCTCAGCTGTCCCAATCTGTTGCCTGATTTTATATAGCCTGTGAGCAAAGAATGATTCTTGCATGTTTAAATGTAAGAAAGGTAAACAAAGAAAAATATTTCATGACACATAAAATTTTATTAAACTCAAACATACCTTTATTTATTTAGAATTCAATCATATCCATTCTTTCACTGATGGTCTGTGGTTGTTTTTACATTATTATGACAGAGCTGAGTAGTTGAGAAAGAAATGTCATAGTTCTCAGAGTTTAAATATTTTATCTCTTTTTCTTCATTGAAAAAATTGCTGCACCCTGGTGTTCTTTGCATTGGAAGAGCCTAGAATCGACAAACTTAGAAAACAAGACTGGTTCTGCTATCTGGCAGCTGTGTGTCCTTGTGGAAATTACTTACCTTTATTCAGTTTTAGACCTTGTTTGTTTGTTTGTTTGTTTTATTAATTATAACTAGTGGGGCAGAGAGAGAGCAGGTTTGAGCCCAGCTTCAAAACCTAGTGACTTCACAAGACCTTGTTTCAAAATAAAACAAAAACAAAAAAATTTTGAAAGGAAATGGGAATGTAGCTCAGTGTAAAAGTGCTGGTTCAGTCCCCAATATCACACACACACACACACACACATACACACACACACACACACACACACACTGTGATATTGTGCCAGTCAGTCACAGTCAATAAGGAATACAAGGCAAGGTCTGGCAGATGGACCCTCACAGGATGGACCCTCAAAAACTGAGAAGTCTACATATTCTTTAATAAAAGAGGATGAATATCATCCTTAAGATACTGCTGTTTTCAAGGGATGGTGAATCTGGATCTTGAAGTTGTTTGTTTTTTTCAATTATGCACTCTTTTTATAATTAAGTCCCCTTGGTTCTGCTAAGTATATTGATATCACTACAAAATGCAGCCAGGAAAGGAGCTTGTGGAAGAACAGAATTCTGCATCGTTTTACATCAACAGAAGGCACATCTCCTGGGGGCCCTACGGAGGTGAGGAGGTCATGCACACATAGGGATATGGAAGGGGAGAAGGAATTGGAGAAAGCAAGGTTTCATGTTCAGGGACCCTGTGTTGACCGCAAGGTGAAAGGACCTCTAGATGCTTGTAAGCCCTGCAGTTTCCCATCTCCAGCTTTTCAGTATTGATTTCTCTGCTGGCAAAGGGTTTTCTGCCCTTCTCCTTCCGGTGAGGAAAGGGAAAGGCCAGGAGTTCACAATTAGTTCAAATTGCTGTGCAACACCATGGTAAGATTTCCCAAAATAAACCTAATTAATTAATTAGAAGAAGGAACACTGAACCCTGAAGAAAAATGTGAGGAAAATCTGTTTCTCTCCCTACAGGGGCAGAAACACTGGAGGAAAATCTGAATCCCTGGTGGCCTGGAACAATGCCATGCATCAATAATATTTAGGTCATCAGGGAAAGAGTGACGCCAAGTTCACATATAGTTTCAAAATATAAATATTTTACACTGAGGTGTGCAAATAATGTGATAAGAAACTAAATGTGTGTCTACATAAACGTGTAATTTGCAGGGATTGTCTGTGTGTACAGACACTTCATTGGCTCTTTGTAGTTTTTTCTTCCATCTCTACTTCATTAGAACTCTACTAAAAATTGTTAACTGTAAACACATAACAGGGTAACCATAAATCCCAGTTTGCTGGAGACAATTTTGGATTTTGTTTTTGTCTCAGCGTTATGCTACCATAAACTTTCTCTTCAGTCTCCAGTGTGTTCCACACACTCAAGTTTGGAATATAATTTATACAATCATGCTACTATTAAATGAAGTCTTTTCAAAGGTCTTTACTGACTCAGGATAAATGTCTAACTCTTGCATTCAAGGACAAGAGCAGTATGACCTGAACCTATTCTGTTTCTGTAGGCTTTTCTGTGCTTCCTTAAAGGAAGAAATCGTTGTCTTAAGCTGGCTTTGCCTGTTAATGCTACTCCCTGCTTTGCCTGTGTATTTCTTTATGTGGCATACCTCTAAAAAGAGACAATATTTCTTGAGACCAGGACCTGGATGTGATGTACATGCATCCATGATCCACTTTTACAGCAGGGATATTGTACAGTCATTCCATTAGCATTTAGTAGCACCTTAGCATTTTCAAAGAGCTTTTCCATGTGATGCAAGGCAACCACATATGTGACTGACCCTAAGGTGTGTGCAGTATAGGTGGTGCCATGTCCCATGGAGATCCGCCTTTTATTACTCAAGGTGGATGCTTGCTCTTAGGTTATTCCAAAGGGATTACTTGTGGAAGGAGAGGTCAGGATATAGATCCCTTGGCTCACGCAGGTAGTGCTACTCAGAATCCACGCTCATGACTCTTTTGATGACGGAATTGAGATGTCACCGAGTCATGCGTTGGACTCCAGTCAGGGCAACACCCCACTGTCAATTAGTCTGACTTGGACAAAGTCACAGACCAGCAGCATGGCTGTAGTACCCTGAGAATTCATTTCTAACCTTTGGCTACTAGATTTAAATTTAATGGGTACCGTTTCAACTGAAGAAGAAAAGTTTATTGGCAGAGAATTGGTTTTCTAAGGTCATCTGTTCACTCAGGACATTTGACTATATCATCTCATCTCTGGAGATAGAAGGAAAGATGACTGAGATCCATGGGAAGTAATTCCAACTCCATGGATTTCCCTCTTTCCAAAGCTTCTCCGTCCCTTCTGGAGATAGGCGCTTGTATGTCAGAGATTTTTTAGTTGGTCCCCCTACCTTTCAAAACATTCATTTTGTTTTATAAATTATTTTTGAATGAACACTTGGAATAAAATATTTATGACTCCTAATTCATTGAGAAAAAATTATTTTCAATGAATAAAGGGAAAGAAAATATAAAAGAAAGAACTGGTAAGTGTATTTTTTTCACATAAAAATCCATAGAGCAAATAGCACTATAAATAAGACAGAAAGAAAAGTCACCAGTTGGTGACTTACTAAGGTACATAGAAAATCAGCTCTTACAATAGGGAGGTACGAAAATATGCAAAGAGAATAGTCAAAGACCATCAGTGGGTAATTCACACACCAGGAAAGAAACTGAAATGGTCAAAAATGGTCAAAAAGAAAAATGAAAATATATTCAACATTACTGATAATCAAAGAATGAAAAAATAAAAAGAAATATCATATCTTTTTTGACATAGACTATTCATCTAATTCATTTACATCAGATTGGCAGAGATTAAACACCTAACAAAAATTCAGTGGAAAAGAAGAGTATGCTCTAAGGCAGAGCAGAGTGAATGTAATTAACAATAATGCATACATATCTCAATTAGAAGATGAAAATTTCCATAAACTCACCAGAGAGAAATGATAAAATTTTAAGCTGATTAAATGATAATTACCCTGAGTTGTTCATTATCCACTTATACTGGAATCACAACATCACATTCTACTTCGTAGATATGTCAGTTAAAATATTTGAAAAATTCAAAATTACCAGAAAAAACCCTTTCAATGTTAGAAATAGTGTGTATAATTAGACACTCACATTGTATTTGTCCACAAATAAATTGGCATAATTATTCTTTATGTGATAAATGATTAACTCATTCAAATTATTATGGTGTGCAAATGAATTAGAATGTAAAATGAGCATAGTCTTTTATAAATTCCTAGGTTTGAACACCTAGGAATTTAACCTCTGGAGCTAAGGCAATATGAGGAAAAAAATACATGTATGAGAATAATCCCAAAAGCAAATTATAATAACAACAGTTCAGCAAATTTATAGAAACAAGACTAATTTTTACATCACTTGTAAAATTTAAAGATGCCCTTTTTCTTAGTACTGAGTGTTGAACCCTGGAACTTGTGCCTGCTAATCAAGTGCTCTACCACTGAGATACATTTTCATGCCTAAAGATGCTATTTTTAAATAACAGCAAGATATATAAGTGATATACAGTGTTAAATGAACCACTTATAATCAGAAAAGTAGATAATACCACAACCCAAGAGGTAATACTTGACACTTATCAGTAAAACAGTTTATATAAACATCTGATATCACAATATGTTGCCAAGATGTGAGCAAACAGAGAATGTGTTCACAAATGCAGTGAATGTAAATTGGAAATCAGTATGACATGACATCGTAATTCAGTGGGAGCATGTCCACAACTCAGTGTTATAATTCCTTACCACATACTGTAGAGACTGTCCTACACATGCATACTATGTGGAGGGCTTTAAATAATGATATTGCTTAGGAATGCAAGATAATTTGAAAGAACATAAATATTCATTACTGAGAAACTGCTTAAATACAAAGCAGTATGACTATTAACGTGAAACAGCTCTTGCAATAGGAAATGCACTAGGCTTCACTGATTCAAATGAGTATCTCCCAAATGATTCTGTAATAAGAAAGTAAGTTTGCAAAGCAGTGCAGCAGGTATGTAGTATTTAAGTTGAGAATATATACACTATAGTGCATATTTTAAAGAGATTAACAATGTAATCGTAGGATGAAGAAACACACAGGAATATTTAACTCCGAACTCAGAAGCAATGGAAGAAGATAGTAAGAAAATGTATGAA